TGCGATCAGACCCCATGCATCCGAAGAAGTGGGCTGTAGCCCACGAAAGCTTATGCTCTAATAAATTTGTTAGTCTCTAAGGTGCCACAAGTACTCCTGTTCTTTTTTTAATAAGTGAGCGATTGGAGGTTGGCATTACTGGCCAAATGTGGGATTCGATATCTTAATAGTGAATGAGAGATGGGTTCAGGATAGCCTGTGAAGGGCCTTGAAAATAAAGAAAAATTGTTTGTTTGATGCAGACATCTGTCATGGAGCTGATATTTTGCTAGTGGGGGACTCTTCCAATAGATCTGTTTGCTACAGAGGACAATACCAAGTTCCTGAACTTTTGCTCCAGCGGGGGTGTGTGTATGTGTGTGTATCTGAGTTCCTTACCAAACTCCTTCCTGCTGCAGTGGTCTCCAGGCCTACTATATGCCTTTCTTCTGATTCTCCTGCTCCCTGGAGTGATCTCCAAAGTCAGATGGGACAAGGCCACATTGACAAAGCTCCCTACCGGTTGAGACATTTCTGATTCTGAGACCTATTGCACCTGTCCATTCAATCTTCCATCCAACTCCTGGTGTGGTTGGCTTGATATCTTAGTATCATGGTCAGATATTGCAGCCAGACTCAGACATTGCACTTAACAGCTTGAATGGTGGATTGCTGAAAGCTACTGTCAGAGATTGTTCTCAACAGATTCAAGAAATCCTCATTCAAAACAGGAAACTGTCTCCGAGGATGATCTAACTATTCCTCCAAATGGAAATGGCTCTCCTTATGGGCAATCCAGCATTATGGGTTGTCTCTTAGTTCTCTAAAGGTTCACCTTGCAGCTGTTTCAGTGAGCTAGGCTCCACTAGAGTCATATTCGGTCTTTTCACATCCGATGGTGTCCAGATTCCTCAATGGCCTCTGTAAAGCTGCAGCCTGGAGCCAACACACTGACATTAGTTAAACATTACACCTTTGACATGGCACCTGGTTTGAAAGAGTTTATATGCCAAGTTTGGGGGAGTTGTACTTTAATCTCTGTTCTGCTCAGATAGCTGATGCTCCTCTTTCCCACTCTCCAGAATGGACACTGCTTGATAGTCATCTAAAATGAGATCAGCACTGACACATGCTTGAAAAAAAGAACTTTTACCCTCCAGTAATTGAAGTTCTTTGACATGTTGTAATCAGTGTGGATCCCACCACCCACCCTCTCATTCCTCCTTTTTGGCATCCTTAGCTACCAAGGGCTTTGAATTGTGAGGAAACTGATAGAGGATCACAGCTGCCATGCCTTTATGTCATCATAGAGGGGCAAGAGTAGGCACAAGGTGCATGGGCAGCCCTGACAGATTCAGAAGACTCTGATCTTGCATGCGTGAGGTGCCCGTGTACCTATAGTAAGATTCACACTGACTACAATATTTCAAAGAACCTCAGTTTCTGTAGAGTAAGTAACTTCTTTAATTTTCTAAGGCCTATAAAAATACATATGTAAGTATCCAAGAAATTGTTTGTGAGCACTTTCTGTGGTTTATAGTTTGAGTAAACAGTGATTGTGCCCGCTACTTGGGCAATCTTCCAGCGAACTGCATATGTCCTAAGTAGAGCAATTATGATGAAACCCTGAAGATGAACCTGAGCTAGTGTTGTAGCAAGAAGAGGGACACGCTTTTGATATTTCAGCATACGCTGAAAGAGGTTAAACCCTCTTACTTAAGGGTATGGCTAGTCTGATAGGTAAAAAGAAAACAAATCTATCATCATTAGATCTCACAGTAAATTCCTTATGTATGCAGTTGCAGATTAAGTCAAACAAAACTACAAAAGTTACATTGATGTAACTAAGGTCACAAATATAAATGGTGAAAAGTTAAATTTATGCTTCTTACAGTAAGATTAAAATTCAGCCCTATTGCACATTCTGTATTTTATAATTTGAATTTATTTCTCGTAAGGCTTAGGAAAAATTATTTAAATAAGCATTGTTTCATAGGGCACATTGCATAAATCAAATAATGCTGTATGTTTGATTCTATATACCAAAAGACAAATATCAGTCCTGTATTTTTTAAGTCTAAGTTTAATGGCATAAACATGAATATATTCATAGATTCATTTATAAAGAAAAGAAATAGAAAATACAAAATGCTTGTGACATGACTGAGTTAATTTTGCTCTGTACATCTTAATGTTTTCTTCCTTTCATTTAAGTATTATAAGGGCCCGATCCTGTAAATGAGTTTCATACTGGCTCAGACCTCTCCATCCTCATGGAGCCCCATTGGCTTCTTCTGTACTTTGCATTGAATTGCAAGATCAAGGCCTGCATTTGCTATTGAAGTTACTTTAATGTAACTTTCAATTCTAGTTTTCTGGTTTATTCTGAGGAAAAAAGAAAATCTAGAGCTCTTGGCCCTGAGGAACTTAAGGTCTTTACATTTGAGCTGTTAAACTTGAAGAATTTACAAACTTAGTTGCCTTTGCTAGTGGTGCTTTTGAGCATCTTATTTTTGCCTTTCGGTGATTATAAATGTTACAAC